CCTTAAATCAGTGTATAAAATACAACACATAAATAGAATAAATTACAAAAAAATCACATGACCATTTCAATTGGTACCAAAAATAGCCTGAAAACTTTTCAGCTCCTTTCACAATAAAAAAACCTGAAATATCTAGGTGTAGAAGGTACACACTTCAATATAACAAATTATTTATATAACATACACCCATATCCAACACTATACTGAATTGGGAATAACTGAAAGAATTCTTTCTAAAATAAGAAACAAGACAAGGATTTCCCTTCTTACCACTACTATTCAAGACAGCAATTTTAGCCAGAGCAATTATTCAAGAGGAAGAAATAAAAGAAATGTAAGTAGGATAGGAAGAAGTAAAATTATTCCTATTTGTAGATGATAAGAGCCTATATACAGAAGACAGTAAGAACACCAAGAAGGACTGTTAGAACTGATTTTAAAAATTCAGCAATATCATATGACATCACCATTAAAAACTCAACAGTTTTTCTATATCCTAATAATAAAATAGTTGACAAAGGAACCAGAAAAACAATTCCATACACAATAGCATAAAAGTACCTAGGAGTCAGTCTAACTAAGGAGGTAAAAGATCACTAAAATTAAAATTAGAGAACACCAAGAAAGAAATTAAGAAGACAAGACACTAAAAGATGGAAAGACCTCCCTTGTCTAAAGGCCCTTGGTTGAATCTGTAATAGCACACAATAAAGAAGGAAGAAATTATATCATTTGCAGGAAAATAGATGGATGCATGAATGGATGTAACAGGAGATCATCTTGTTAAGAAAAATAGGCCAAACTTATAAAGACAAGTAATGTATATATCTCCTAATATACGGAATCTAAAAACAAACAAAAAGAACACATAAAAGTAGAAGTGATACTATTATTAGACAAAAAGAAGGAAATAAGGGGGTGGGGAGGACAAGAGGGGGTAATGGTAGATAAATATAATCAAAATGTTACATGCATGGCTGAAAATACCAGATCAAAATGCAAAATTTTATAAAACAGATACTAATAAATTATATTTTGAGAAATAGAACTCATTCGTATGCAGCTCTCAATATTAATCTAATTGTTCTTTTATGTGGTCAGATAATAAGCATTCCATACCTATAGACTAGTATAATGAACAAATTTTGTGTGCAGTGGATATTTTTGTTTTAATAATATCAAAACAATTCTAGTAAGAATCCTGATTTACAGTATATTTTATTCTCTATTTTGAATATAATGATCCCTATGGCTATATAATGTTTAGTCTATCACTCTATATAGAACATTATACATCGGGGCTGTAAAGAAAATATAATGCAAGGACTCAATACCTGTATAATGCTAGAATTTTGGTGATTTGACACTTTCATGAGATGACTCAGGCTGGCTCTCTATTTCACTTTTTATTGAATATTGCCAGAGATTTGAAAGCTCAACTAAAGATTGTCTGAAAACTCAGTCATAAAGATTTCTCTCTTCAATTCATCTTTTTTCATCTTCAGTGTTGTGGGATTACTTCAGTTTATAAGTGTTCACTAGGCAGTAACTACAAAGTGAGTAGCTACTTTTCCTATTTTTTATTGTAAAATTCAGCTTTCTAGGTTACTAAGTGTAAAGAAGGTTGTATATGACAAAAAAAGTCATGCAGAGAAACTTGGCAGCTGTTTGGAAGACAGCTTTAATTTCCATTGTCCCTCTCTAACTCCAGAACCCTAATCAGAAATTTGAAATGAATTTGACTTGGGGAAAAAACTTAAAGCTTTTTCATTGATGTATTACAAAATATGATGGATAAAAGCACTTAGGATTTCCCCAATTCTAGAAAGAAATCGAGAAAAAAATGTGATTAATTTCAAATATATTTAAGTTCCTGAGTATTTGATAAAGATAAGTAAAGTCCAGGAAATTAACTGCTCAAAACGAAGTTTTTGCTTTTCATTTATTTGAAATAGCTCTGACACACAGCTTAAAAGTGGGAAGATTAGACTAGAAGGAAAATGAAAGAACTAATATGCCAAACAGTAGAGTAGGTGGAAAGGAGAGAAAGGGATGTTGTCATGGTAACAAAATAAACCCCAGGCTCCTCCCTAACAGAAAGATGAAATCTGGTTCTGTACACGAGTCTGTTTAAACTGATCAATTTTCATGCTGGGGTGCACATGGTGTGCCCATAGGCACATGTATTTTGTACATTTATTATTTAGGTAAAAAAATAAGGTTAACCTTCTGAAACTACAGTCTTTCTCCAATAAGGACATCTGTGACTGATTGTTAAAGAAAAGGGAGATGAATGGATATGAATATTATTAGAAAGGTAGACTTAGTATAAACCTAGATAAATGTTTAATCTGTTATCACAGTAATCTCAAAAGCATTGGGAAATAGGAATTTAGACCCCAAGGAAAGAAGGTGGGGATTTTGATTGGGGTAACTGACTAAGGCATAGATTAGACAGAAAAAAACTGACAAATGGTGACTCTGAAAACCTTTTAGAAATGCAAGACTCAATCAGATATTATTATGAAAATATTGTCTATTCTCTTGAGTGTTATATTACTGATGTTGTTATTTAGGAAAATGTCACTTGCAGGTGATTCATGCTGAGTTTTAGGGATGAAATTTCTTTAGCTTACTTTCAAAAGTAAGAAAATGTGTGTGTGTGAGGAGAGAGAGAGACAGACAGACAGAAAGACAGACAGAATATGAGACTGAGGTCTTTAAAAAAAAAGAATATGAAACTGAGAAAATATGTGCCAAAATATTCACAGTAAGTGGTTGTGAGAGACATACATGACACTGTTCATGTATTTCAAAAAATAAATTTACTTGTAAAAAATAATCAGAAGCCAGAAACACAGGACAGTTATAATGAAGTGCTCATTTGTACAGCATGGTGAGATAGCAGTTCAGAGAAGGGTGAGCTGTATGTGTGTCCTGAGCAAGATAGCCCCCACCCTAACTAGTGATATTAAAAAAATCAAAAAGCAAAACAAATCAAGAGGCTTCTTTGCTTTGGGATGATGCCAGTATTGAGTGGCTACAGAGCACAAACTCCCCATCTTTGTCCCCTGACACATAACCAGTGCTCTCTGGCCATGAACTATAACCACCCTATCTTTACTAAATGCAGAAATCCTAGAAATGGTAAGAGACAAAAAAGGCACTTAGATCATCTACTAGACAGAATTTCTACACAAAAGCAATTACAAACTGACTTCAAGCTGGGGATATAGCTCAGTGGCACAAGTGCCTGCCTGGCAAGTACAAGGTCCTGAGTTCAATTCCCGGTACAAAAAAAAAAAAGAAAAAACTGACTTCAGCATCTGGAAATTTGGTATACTTGGATAATGTATGGGAAAACATGTTTGGAATTATACCTGTAATTAGGTACACTTGGAGAACACAAAACAAAGTAGCTATGTAGGCTTGACAATATTTCACTGACTATTTTTTTAATTATACATACAATAGATTTTTATCTAACACTACTTAAACTGAGCTTCTTCTTGGTATGACCTATGACTAAGCTCCAACAACCAATACACCTTTTATAACAATTAACAAGTTTTAATGTGCAAATAGTTTCTAAATGGTAACAGCTATATATATGATAAACAAGACATCTAACTCAGTTTAATATCATTAAAACATTAGAAAGGAGTCTCATTCACTATACACATGTAATTTAAATTAATTATATATCATGGGATAAATACTTAATGACTGAAACCAATTAGAATATGACCTCTAATTGTAAACCAGATATTTTCTCTGGAAATAAGTAAAAGAACAGATAAGTACTATATACACAAAACCAGATATTCAAATTTGTAGGCAATTTAAAGGATTTTCCAGGGAAATTTGGCTATATTTTCATTTCACTCAAGACTCAGAAAGATAAGACTTTAATATCTATCATAGAGTTCCTGGCTGTGTAAGTCAAATTATCTATTTCAAATGTTTGTTCAGATTGCTCAAAGCCAGTTCCTTCCTTATAAAATAGGCAGACAGAATAGCAGTGATTAAATTTACATGACAATTTAGCTCAGCTACAGTGCCAGATATTTGGTTAAAAAATGTTCTAGAGTGTTCTCTCTCTCTCTCTCTCTCTCTCTCTGTCCCTCTCCCCTCCCTCCCTCTTTCTCCCTTTCTCCATCTCTCCCTGTCCCTCTCCCTCTCTCTTTATCTCTCTCTTTATCACTCTCATCCTGCCTTCCCCTCTCCTGCCCTCCTGCCCTCTGTGTGTCTGTGTTTGTGGGGGTTTTTTCTGGGTGTTTTTGTTTGGATGAGACTAACATTTAAATCACTGGATGTTAAGTAAAGGCTGTTATCTCCATAACGTGTGTGATCTTCAATCAGTGAGTTGAAGGTCTTAATAAAATAAAATCTGACTTCCACTAGTGCAAGACAGAATTCTATTAGCAGTCTACTTTTAGAGTCAAACTGCTACTGCTCCAGAGTGTCCAATCTGCTGGATTACTCCATCAGATCTTAGACTTGGCATGCTTCCATAATCATGTGACTGAATTTTATAAATCTCTCTATGTAGTTAGTAGATGTTTATCTATATATAGAGATAAGTAGATATAGATATAGATGTATATACATATGCATCTCAGCTATTTACCTGGAGAACTCAAATAATAAATACACTGTTCAACAGGAGCATTGTGGAGATTAAACAGACAATGCATTTAATCTTTATAGTACCTAAAGTATGAGATAATGCTAAATAAATATCTGCTCTTGTCTTCCAAGTGTCTAATATTGTCCATATTACCCTTGATCCTAGAGGCTGTTTCTTTTAGGCCAAATCTACTCTCTTTTTGAACCTGAAAGTCAGGCACTCAGATACTTCATGGATATCTAATTTCCTTCATCTATGCTCAATCTCCAAACATGTTGTTAGAAAAACAAAGTTTTATCTCTGCAATAATTACCAAGTGCACACCACTGTTATAGTTCAATATTGGCACTTCATTGTCCTGATAACTGACCTGTTTGAAAGCCTGCATTGAGCAACTTTCTGCATTAAATTGCATCTCCAAGTTGTTTATGAGTTGATCCATATCTGGAAGAGAAAAAAAGGAAATATAACTTTTAGAATAAGGTCTAACGCACTGTATGCATGTCTTCCATCTATGCTTAGTTGCACCTATGTATACTCTATCAACATAGTTTTGCAGGACTTACTAGATGCTGAGCAATTACCAAGACATTCTAATTTATGCCATCCACCAAAATGGCCCTGATTTATCTACCAAATTCTTCAAAATTGTATGTACGGGTATATCACTTTCTTCCAACTTCTATACTTCCATACACCCATAGGCATATCAGCATAGCTGCATAGTTTCCAGAATTTTTCCGATTCAGTCTAGTTCTTGCTTTAAGGATTTCTAAGCTTTTATATGACTATTTATCCCAGTAAACATGTTTATACTTTAGAGCCGAGCTTCTCCAGAGAAGCATTTCATTTGTCTATGTCTCTTAAACCTACAAGGTGAAGTTAATAAAAAGTCTTTTGTTTCCTCCTAGATATATGTTCCTTTTATGAAAGTAGATATTTGGTAGCCTCATTCAAATGCCTTGTGTCATCACAGTCATTTCCACTAGAAGCACCTACCAAGTTTACCTCTTCAGCTAGATTCCCTTTAATCTATTTACATCCCAATGTGACTATACAGGAAAATGTAGATCAAGGAAGCCTAAACCACACTTAGTTATACCATGATTTCTCTGATTTCAAATTATGCTAAGTGTCACGCCGTCAATTACAGTTAGTTCCCACACTAATGGCCTGGTTACAATTCAGATAGTTTACAAATCTTACTTGTTGGGTAGTCAGCTGCATGTACCTATAAGAAGTGTTAGTTTTAAAGGTCACATCACAATAGCGATATAAGAGAGAAAGCAGTTAACATACAATGAATGCATGATCAGCAAGGATGTAGAATTATAATATAGCAACATAAAAATAAAAGATAAACCCCAAAATGAGTCTTTCATTCATTGAATGTCAGAAATTGAGAAAATCATTCTTAATTAAAGAGCAGTAACACAAAGAAACTTCCATGTAAATAAGAGGAAAACTTCCAAGCTACTATAAGAGTTTACAGAATTTTGACACTCTAAGTATCATATCTGTAATTTAATTCCAAATTCATGATTTTTCTTTTCCTTGATTCAGGTATAAATAGAACTGTTTATATCTATATATATAATATATAGATATAATATATATATATTCACCAAACATTTGTTGCAGAATTATTATTTTTCACAGGTTTTAATAGGTACATTCCTATGAATTTGGGCTCTGGGCCAACCAGACATGTGGGACGAGCAAAATGTATCAGAGAGCACTGATTTTATATTAGTAATCTTTCTTATCCTGAGACATGCTACCTGACTGTCACAACTTAAAGGAGAACAGGTTTAATTTGGCTAATAGTTTTAAGGGATTCAGTCCATCATTACCTGGCTCTAAGGCAGAAACATGGCAGAAGGGCATGATGCAGCAAAGCTATTTAGTTTGTGGTGCCCAGGAAAGCAGAGCTAGATAAGAGTGCCTGAGAGGAAAGGGCAAGAGACCAGACACAGACCCCAAGGCCAGGGCTCCATCACCCACCCAGAAGTGTGTGCCACCAGTTCTCCAAGCAAATCTCAAAATCAGGCAAGTTGACACTCCAGCCTAACTGGCACACCTCAAATGTTGTCAACTTCATACTTAAACATATCTCCTGAAATCATATTTAATGTTCAAATAAAGACAAAAGTAAGTTCATAATTCTGTCTAATGTAATTCAACTATTCCATGTACAACTGAAAACACAATTCATTCCACCAAAATCTTAACAGTTTCAGCATTTTTAAATGTTTAAGTGCAAGTTTCCTCTGAGCCTGAAAGCAAATTCTCCACTGTGAGCATCTATAAAAATCAAAACAAGTTAATCCCAATGGCACTGGGTAAATATTCCCATTCCAAAAGTGAGGAATAGGAGGATAGAAAAGAATCAAAACAAAGCAAGACAAAATGAAATCCACCGCAGGAAACATTAAGTCCAGTAGTTCTATGTCCATCTTCTGGGGCACACACACACTTGATAAAGTGTAACTTCCAAAAGTCTTAGGCAGACATCCCTCATGGCCTTATCAATTACAGACCACATGGTTCCTCTCTTGAGATAGCTCCATTCACGGACTATAACTTTCCTCAGCAGAAATTCTACCCTTGCTTCTCTAAACTCCTGAGTCTTCACTGGACCTTCAGCTTCATTATTATGGCTTCACACATTGCCCTCTCAGGGATTCCTCACCTAGCTTCCTATGTCCTCTTATGAAATTTGAGTGGAAGCCTCTGTGACCCTATAACTCTTGCATTCTGCCTACTGTCAAACTAGCATTGCATGGACAATGTCAAGGTCTGCTGCCTAAGGGAGCAGTAGTCAACAATTACCTTGCCAGCAATTACCTTTGAATGTCTGGATGGCTGAGCACAGTGAAATGAATCACAATGAACAAATTCTCTAAGAGGCTCTCCTTGAGCAAGGGTTACAGGTACTCTCTCCTCAAATGAAAGGTCCATTCTTTTGTACTTGAGCAAAAGTGGGTGAACCTGCAATGGGTGAACCCTTACTGATTTCTTGAGATGACCTCAAGGCATCTTTTTCTTATCCTTGTACAGAGATCTTCATTTCTTCTTAAAAGTTCTAATCACCAGCATTGACACCACTTTTGGTCCCAACTTTACATGTGGTTTCTTCTGAGACAACATTTACAATTTTCAAACTTTTGTGCTCTGGCCTTTTGTCTCCAAATTTCACTATACAAGTCTGGCTAAAAGCAGCCAGCAGTACCCATGCCGCAACCTAAATTTTGAGCTGTCTTGAAATTTCCTCTGCCAAATAAATTAGCCTACCACCCTTAATCTCAGTCTCCCGAGAAGTATCAGGACATAGGTAAAATGTAGACAAATATTTCTGTCGTGGTATAATATCCATGATCCCTAGTCCAACTGCTAATGGAGTTCTTGTTCCCAACAAAAACTCTTGCAACTGGTCTTCATTTTTGCATTCCTATAAGCATTCTGGTCTTCTGAGCTCTAACCAAAATCACCTATCATACTCTGTTTACAACATTCCAGGACTTCTCTAGGCCACATCTCCAAACCTTTCCAAATTCCTCCTGCAAACCAACTGCAAATGTTTCTAAACCATTTTGTCATTTATAGTCACATCAATTGATGCCAATTTTGTGGTACCAATTTTCTGCACCGGTCAGCTTTCTCATTATTGACATGATACCTGACACCCACAATTTAAGGGATGAGGGGTTTAACTTGGCTTACAGTTTGCAGAATTCAGTTCATTGTCACTTGGCTCTATCACAGAAACATCATGGCATAAGGGCACAGAGGAGCACAGCTGCTTGGCTCCTGGCAGCCAGGAAGCAGAGCAGGGGAAGTACTGCCAGAGAAGAAGTGTCAAGGGACCAGACATAGGCCTCAAGGCCAGGCCTCCATGATCCACCCAGACACACATAGAAATCTACTCTACCAGTTTTCCAGGCAAATCCCAAGCCCAATCAAATTGACACCTAACCCTAACCATCACAGAGTTAAATGGCCAAGAATCACATTTTATTTTTGTCAGGGTCTTTTTATTTGCAAGATTCAACTTATCCATCTAGAATCTAGTGAAACTCTGTATTATCTCTAATGTTTATCTAATAACTATTTTCTTATTCTCTTTAATGGTTTGAACAATCTTCCATTCCTACATCTGGTAATCTGAGCAATGTAGTTGAGGGTAGTGACATGTAATATAACAACCACTGTTAATTCGTATTATTTTGTCTTGAAATGCTGTATCACTTTAAATGTTCTTGCTTTGGTTTGTCTATGTTTGTGATACTGGTATGCTGCTATTGTTCTAGCTTTTGTCTGTTTGTGTCTCATTTACTACTCTCTTTAAAATAAAAAAAATAAAGATAGAATTAAAGAAGTTCAGCTTATCCTCTGTGTAATACTAAGGGTTCTACGGAGCCTCTTAGGGATGTGGTAATAGAGTAAGAAGTATAGCAATAAATAAGAACAGTACAGGCAGTATCTCATAAAACTCTGATTTCCAATAGAATTTAAGCTCCTTGTGATAGACACTCCTGATGACGGAAAAAGAGCAAGGAAGTATATTTTCTCAAGTACAAGAATTGGTAAAGCGTGGGAAATAATGAAAGAAAATTCAAGATGCTATGTATGAGACAGGACTGAGGTGTAAATTAACTATCAAGTGGGAGGTTTCACAGAAGATAGATTTTTTTTCTGATTCCTAGGATGAGAAAATGAGGTGTGATGTTAGAAACACAATGTTGGATCAAAGATCTCTGGTGTAGTCCACAAGGGGGCACCAAAAATTAGCAGAACTTGCTTGACTGCTACCAGAAATACTTGCAGATGAGTGCGGAAAGAATTCTGTTTTCCCTCTGTATTCAAAATACCTTCAAGTAGGTGTCATTATTTCTAGCCAGGATGTTTTACGAAAGCTATTTTCTGTGTGCTCTTCTTCAAGGCCTATGAATTAAGAGAAGGCATGGTTGAGGAAGATGAATGATGAACAAACATTTAGCCTCCATAAATCTGTTTCTTTACCTGACAAGGAAGGGGAAAATTTCTATTTTCTTAAAAAAGTCAATGTGGATTCCATGCATATACATGCAAATGCACTCAAAGAAATTCTCAGCATATGAAAAGTTATCAATTAAAAATTATTAACATAATTACCATGATTGTTATTATTGCAGTGCTGAGGATTGAACCCAGGAGCTCATTCATGCTATGCAAACATTCTATCACTATTGAGTCCACATTCCTCATTATTTTTGATGGCCAAAATCTTGAGCTCTGACTCAGAAGAATATTTCTTGAGTATCAAACAGGTCCTTTACACTCCATGAGTTCCTAAATCTGCTCCAATCTTTATTTCTAGCATTTTATATTTCCAGTCTTAATTCTAGCATCACCATCAACTCAGTCTGTCAAGCTTAAAAACCTATGGGTCATTCACCTTTGAC